ATCCCACAAGAACGTGTCCAGGCGGGTTTGGGACAGCTCCAGAGAAGGAGACTCCACAACCTCTCTGGGCAGCCGGTTCCAGTGTTCTGTTACCCTTACTGGGAAGAAGTTCTTCCTCATGTTTAAGCGGAGCCTCCAATGTTCCAGCTTATATCCATTTCCCATTGTTCTATCACTGGATGCCACTGAGAAGAGCCTGGCTCCATCCTCATGACAATCACCCTTTCCATATTTATAAACATTAATGAGGTCCCCCCTCAGTTTCCTCTTCTCCAAACTAAAGAGACCCAGCTCCCTCAGCCTTTCCTCATAAGGGAGATGCTCCACTCCCTTAATCATCTTTGTGAACCTACGCTGGACTTTCTCCAGCAGTTCCTTGTCCTTCTTGAACTGAGGGGCCCAGAACTGGACACAATATTCCAGATGCGGCCTCACCAGGGCAGAGTAGAGAGGGAGAACCTCTCTCAACCTACTAACCACACCCCTCTAATACACCCCAGGATGCCATTGGCCTTCTTGGCCACAAAGGCACATTGCTGGCTCATGGCCATCCTGCTGTCCAGCAGGACCCCCAGGTCCCTTTCCCCTGTGCTGCTCCCCAACCATTCCATGTTATAACGAGTTTTGAATTCTGCTTCTAATTGCTATATTCAGTGATATGTTAGTTAAGACAAGACAAGCCTGTATCTGAGCTGAATAACTTGGTGTTAAGCAGAAGTAACTACATTGCATGGATAACATGAAACATGAGCTTGGACACTGGCCAGAAAAACTGAGAATGTGAGTGACTCAGAGTAGGAAGCGAACTCTGCAAAACTTATGCTCAAGAATAGTGCTATCAGTAGGTTATCCCATCTGTCGTAGGCTCTGCATTAAAAATTGCTGGGTCATACTCAGCAAAAACATAATCAAATGTTATTGTGACCTGCCCAGAACAATGAAACTATAGGAAATCTTGCTTTAAATCTGGTTTTGTGGTTTTACGCCCTAATTTACCCCAAACTAATATTTGAATAACCTCAAAACACGAAGATGTTTAGCTGAACTCTTTAACTTTCCAACTTTGCTAGTCGCTTTTCTTGTTTCTTCTCTGTAACAAAGTAGCATAATATCAAATTCCTAAGCACTCGAAAAACTCATTGGAGTCTTCACCCAGCATAAATCTCATTAGCTACATTAAAAACAGTAAAAATATATTGATTTCTGAAACCTGCCAATCTGAAACATTAATAATATTTTTTTATATCTTGTACTTAATATGCAAGACTTATATCCTTTGAGTTAGAAGCAGTTTATCCATGGATAGAAGGGAATTCTGGTTGAAATCGTGGGCATTTTGGTTCCTTCGACATCCATACAGTAGCAACTGAAATCAGTTAATGAAACCTTCAGCATTAATAAGACTTACACGTGAGAAATGCAAGTCTGGTATGAATAGATGCAGACAAGCTGGCAGTGAAAAAGACATGATCCAGAAATTCATGCTAAATGTCTGATATATTGCTAAATTAGTATTCTTTTGCTTTTGTCATTCCCTGTTAAAAATAATAAGTTTTTTTTTTTTTTCATGCAGAGACAGTGAGAATTGTGGCTCTCAACAAATTAGGCTTCAAATGCATCATGTTGATATCAAAAGTAATAGGATCACTTTAAGAACATGGACTGTAGACTGTTTGGAAGATTCTCTCACATTTGGATGGCCAAATGGTCAAACTTAAAAGTCAAATGTATTGGTTAATAAGTGAGTGGTATGCAAATGCTCAAAAATGGATAAGAACTACATTCTTTTCTATCATAATGCAACTGTTAAACCCCAGAGAATCCAGATCTGAGGTCTGACACATTGATGTTAATATTTGACAAAGCCTTGGCATTTCAAACAGTTAAACACTGACCTACCATTAGACTTTCCCTTCATTTGAAGGGCTTCTACAAGATAAGAAAAGCCAATAACAGCAAAACTATGCTTTTTAAACCTGTGATAAATCTTATCTTTGAGAGGCGGAAATCATATTCTTCCTTTCCCTCCAGGAAAACACATCCTACAGCTGACGTGACTTGAGGTCATTCTCTCTGCTAATCAGCACTTATTGATGGGCTGTGTGGAATCAAAGAAAACCTGGAAATATCATAGGAAACTTTTTGCTTTCCTCTAGCATATAATTTAGCAGCCTGCCAGGGACGTAAGATTCCACTGTGAGATCAAGGACTGTGGGCCATGTTCCAAAATGAGGCAAATCGAGACAAACCTTGGACGTTCTGCTTTGCTGTGGCCTGTGGATCTGCAGTATATAAGTGTAGTATCACAGATGTTCATTATTTACCCACTCGTCAGAGCTATAATGTCACTAAGGCAGCAGCCTGGACCATCCAGGGTACAGCAACACATGGAGCAGCACAAGCCTTCACCACCCAAACCACATCCCAGCTAAAGCACAACGTGGCTAGTAGAAGGTGCTTTTCTTAGTATCAAGTTATAATGCCCATATATATGTGTATATATTTATATAATTCTTGGTTACAGTGGATTTACAAGCACTACTCGGATAACAATGTAATAGGAAAGATTTTGCACCTTTTGAATCTGCTGGTTTAAGCTCTTGATGGAACCAGGTAGGCATAATCAACACGACTTGGTTACCCTTTGGTTGTATTTTCCATAAGTTACTCATTTTTTTTTAAAGAAAGCTTGAATTTTTGTAGAATACCTGACTCCAGAAGCTTCAGGGCTGTCCAAAGCTTAATCTGAATCTAGTGAGAAGTAGTCTATACATTGCAGAGACCTGACTACCTGAGACTGTCAGTAAAACAAAGGCAAAAATTAACTGCTGGTCTTAACGTCTAGCATGCCAGAGAGAATATCCAGAATATAAAGTGACCATATCTCTGGTTCTTAAATAGATAGAGTAATGCCTTGAAACATAAAATACACTCTCTTCTACCGTAGTGTTGGGGTAACGGAGTGCCTTTGCTGTGACTTGTACCCAAGCTGCAATGAATTTCTTCCATGCTTTTGTAGGCTGCTTACCAGCAGTAACAACAAGGTATGTGGGCAACGTGTGTGGGCTGACACTGTATTTGTCCTTGAGGTATCTGCTGGGAAATCTCTGACGTCTTCTCATCTCAGTCCAATAGCTCTCACATGCTCTGCATTTTAGGTGATGCTCATTAAGGCAACAGAAAAAGTGTCAGAAGGCAGGGAACAGCGTAGTAACTCCCTGAGCTTTTCATGCTTCAGACCTCTGAGGCTTGAAGAGTGGATTCAGTGCTTTAAGGAACCAAGTGCACTTTAAGGGATTAAAATTAAATTCACAAGCCCACATTCATCTCCAACACAATTTCCCACACCATAGGAGTCAATCCGGACTTCTCCTCCTTACTTGTTCACATTAATTCTTCCACTAAACTTCATTGCTAAGTCACTATTTTGACAGGAGAAGCACCAGAAACACACCCAAGAACTGAGTCACATCATTGACAAGATCTGAGAGTTATATGTAGATACATATGTCTGATCAACTGAAT